CCCCCCCCCCCCCCCCCCAGTCTTCAGCATCTGGCTGGGTTGGACAGGAGCCACACCAGCTGCCCCTTCGTGGCCCAACAGAACACAGCAAGGCACCAGCCTAGCCATGTGCCAGGGAGTTGGGGGTGCAGAGAGGAGGGAAGACAAGGAGGAGGAGAAGGTCAGGAACTATAGGTTATCTAGGCCTGGCTAGGTCAGTGCAGTGCTGTGTTTCCCTACTTCTCCCTGGGTCAAGTCCCCAGCATGTGGCCGGGCTGGTGCCATTTTGTGTTTCTGCATGCCACTTTGGGTCACATGGGTGCAACTGGAGAGGGTCCAGCCTCATCTGGCCCTGGGCCAGGGAGTTGCGGTCAGGTAGGACCTGTGCCAGTAACTCCAGTTACACTCATGGTATGACCTGAAGTGGCATGTGGAAACAACACAGCACCATGCCCTTGCCAGTGGGTAGAACCATACCTGAGCTTTGACTCTTGCCAGGGGCTGGGCTGTGAACACCTGCAGGGTCAAAGCTATATGCAAACAGCCAGAAGCCTGGTCAGAAGCTCAGTGCCCCTGCCTTTGAGCATATGCTGGGGGGTAAGGCAGAGCTGGGGAGGGGAGTGGTTGCCTGGCTACTGGTGCTGCTACTGCAGCCAGCTATGGCCCAGGGAAAGAACAAAAGGCAGGTCAGCCATGGGCCAGATACAATTCTTCAGTTTCAAATCTTGCCCATTTTAACCGTTTAGGCAGTCTCAAATAAGAGAATGTAATGATGAACATATGGTTCCAGAAACCCTTAGTCAGGGCCATTTAGCTGAAAATAGTTTATTCCATGTTACATAAATTTAAACTTTAGTCATGATGAAGCTACATTGTCACTGTTCATCAGATAAGCAGGCTAACATATGCTTTGCAGTAATATGGATTTTGCTTACATTCAGAGGGCAAGTTATGTAGACTTGTGGCTTCCTTTGCATGCTGAACTTGAGCATCAAGTTGGCTGTAGTAAGCTTTAGGAATACTAGGAGTTTATTAAAAAACAAAGATTCAAGTTTTGGTTCAAACTCCTGCCTCTTTGGGTTAAGCAAGACTGCAGTAGTACTTAGTACCCATGATAAGAAGAGAGTGACTGCAATCAGTCCCATCCTAGTTTCTCACACCAACAGTGACAGATGTTTTTGAATAAAAGGCCTAGTCCTGATTAGAAGAAAAGTCTGGCTTGTGACAAAGCAGCCAAATAACCAGAAATATCTACTGGTAAAGATATTGTTCAGTGAAGGGGGTGGGAGGGAGGTGCAAAGCGATCAGTCCTGATGATGATGTAGTTCTGGCTGGTATCCAAGTTATTTCAAACCTAGATGCAGCAGCTTCCTTATAGGACCTGGTCCTCCCCAGTAGCCCCTGGAACAAGAAAGTTTGAGTCAGTGCCTTGCAGCACCCACACATGCTCTAGGCTTTTTTCATTGTAATCAAAGTTAGCTAAGCTATGGCTTCTGGCTACCACAATTGCTACTAAAATTGTAGCAACTTAAGTTTCTCTTGGGGTAATTTTTGCTATAATTCCCTTGTTTGTAGAGTGGTTTTCAAGAAAGAGCAGGATGGTGTGTCCAAATGCTACTTTACTGCCAATATAGGTATCTATGTAAAATGCATCAGAAACAACATACATCTCAGTCTGGCATACAGTGGGACTTAGCTTGCAAGTTCACAATTCTGCTAAGATAGGGAAGTGTTGCTGACACCAATTCTGAGCATTTTGATTAACACAGCTTGTTTAAACTCTTACACATGTTTTCAATTAAGGCAAAAACTGATATGTATGTCTGAGTACTTACTTTAGTAGTCCATTCCAGTAAAGAAAAGGCATCATATCAGCTTTCATATAGTACATGGTCAGTCTCTCTTTACTTTGGTCAATGGGGAATGTTTCCAGAGGCTGAGCATTGTAGTCAAATTCTGCTAGAATCACTCTGTTGTAGCCTGTTACGAGTGGACAGGATGTGTATCCATCGTACTATAATAGAAAAATACATATTCACAACTATGTACTTTAGCCCCCAAACCAGAACAAATGCAATTAAATCATGACTAGTGTTTGTCCCAAAATATAACTTGAAATGAATTCTGAGCTTCTGATAGATTCCAGCAAGGAAGATTCTAGCAACTGAGGTCTTCAAAAACCACCACCACAAAAGCAAATTTCCCTGCGATGATCTGCCAACATGCCTCAGCTTTTATCTTGAAGGAAAAACCAGTCAGTCCTCCTGGGGCTATTGAAAACTTGTAATACTTCAAGACAATGTGTCAGTGCTTTTGGGTGACAACTACTTTTCCTTGCTAGGAAGCCTGATAATCAGTGGTCACTAGAGGCAAGTTTCTGCTCTCCATATGTAACACCAGGACAAGGCAACATTCAAAATGCACTGGATGTGCCACATTCAGATCTCAAAAGGTTATGTTGTTATTGTCTAGCACTGAGATTAGGAGGAACTTTTTGGCTATCAGAATAGTCAGGCATTAGAACAGGCTACCTAGAGAAGCTGTATGATCTCCATCTTTGGACAATTTCAAAAGCAGTTAGACAGACACTTGGCTGGGATGACTTATTTGGTGAGGGATGATCCTGCCCTGAGCTAGAGACTGGACTAGATGACCTTATGAGGTCCCTTCCTTTCCTGTGATTCTATGAACTAGGTTGTGGAATCCCATTGCTGTGAGACAACAGATTCATTTCGTAAGGGGGGGAAAAAAGCACCCAACCCAGAATTATATCCAGAATTCAAGTTAGTGTTCACAAACTTGAATAGGGAGGGATACTAAGCCTCATGGTTCAACACTTAATCTAATTTTTAGACTAGACTTTTCCAGAGGAGGGATATGTTCATACAACGTCTTGTACAGTGGACTTCAACTTTGCTTGGGCCCTAGATACAACTATAATACACACAATAAATACTAGAGACCAGGAGAACAGCTTGGCTACTGTTAAACAGCTTGGCTACTGTTAAACAGCTTGCTGGAGTAATGGAGTTTGAGTCTGATCTAGCAGGCAGTCGTAGGACAGGTTCCAAATGCCAGAAATCAATATTGCTGTAGAATGAACCTAAACCTAATGCTCAAGGGAACACTGTAATTATCCTAGAACTATTCACGTTTATTTTGTTAACAAGTTCCACTAGTATGATATTAAATTATGAAAACTCTGCAAGCCTGGGTTTTTAAAAAAGAATAATTGCACTGAAGTGCAGTGACAAAAATGCCACAGGGGTTAGTAGCTTCACTTCGCTCATGTGGAATATTAAAGGGATGGAAGTTGTTAGTGAAGTTAGGCCTTCATATGTTTGCCCCATTTTTCGTATTAAGTAGGTCAACTGCAGCTCTGGGAAGTTGAACAGGCTGTGAGATGGGGGGAAAAGTTTACTGCAGCTTCGTTGTTTGTTTGAAGGAAGAGTATGTTAGACATTTTCCTTCCAATAGAACTGAAACTTTGCATGACTAAATGTTTGTGGATAACTCAACAATTGTTTTTGCTATCTAGGAAGTCCCCTCCATTTTTTTCCTGCTCTTGGATTCTTCCAGTCTCAAGCTTCCATTTCCCAGAAAAGATTAACATACAACTGCTTTAAATGCATGTTCATGACACAGCCTTTAAAGGTTAAATTTGGAAGTAAGGAACTGTGCAATTAGGAGACTACAACATACATCTTGTTAGATCCCCTCTCAGCAGTAAAAAAGCTGTCTATAGGTAAATGAGTTCTGCATGAGAAATTAGTTGTCCATCTTGGATATGTTTGTAAGCAGTGCTTTCTATACTTGTAAACAAATACAAGATAATTCTTAAGATAGCTGGCTAGAAACACATTAAATACCTTTTTAGTTGGCGATTTGTTCTTCATTACCAAAGAAATTGTTTTATCAAGCACGCCAGATTGGGCAGCTATGAGAGAAAAAAAACATGCTGTATTCAGGCTTTGCTTTAAATATTAATATGAAGTTATTTTCCAGATGGAAGGAGTATCTACACTGTAATATGGCAGTAAAGATATAGTATATGAAAACTTAATGGGATAATTTTAGAATTGTGGAATTGATTTCTTTCTGAAATGGATCTTCAGCTTAATACAGTTGTGCCTCTTGTTTTGGTTTAATAGGCTTTTGCCTCAATATTGTTTCTGCAGCAGGTTTCAGATTCTTTTTACTAAGTTGGTCGAAGTCTCTTTTCTAACTTTCAACGTCCTCAGAACACTGGCATTAGAGCAGATTGAAGTTAAGACTATTTCTGGGTGCTAAGGAGGAAGCTATAATGAGTTTTGGCAAGATTAACTAACCAAGCATAAACTAATAAACCCTTCTTGTAATGCACCATTTTCCTACAATTTGACTCATTCAAAATTATTGTACTGTCATGCACTACAAACATAATATTTACATTGAAATACAAGCCAACAACTTATGCCTAGAGTCCATTTTAGATGGTTTAAATCAGGTGGCTGCAACTACAGAACATGCGATTCTTCAACACGGACGGTGTTATCACTCAGCAGGCACATATACATGAACTTCAGAGATACTGCAAGAAGTTGCATAACTGAAGGAAGGAATTTGAGTCTCCCAAAAAGGACAGATGAAACCCCTGAACAACTTAAACAAGTGGGGGAGGGGCAGTGCTGAAATTGTGGTAGGTTCTGCTTTTACTAGTTCAGCTTCCATCTTGTGGAAAATGTCCCATGTTTTGAAAATAACAATAAACATTTTCGCCATTACTAGTTTTCACTCGTCAGAAAATTAGATTCTGGCAATAAAAATTAAATCTGTTTTCTCTGGATGCACAAGCACATTTTCCAAATATACTAAGGTAGTAATCTTTCCTTTATCAGCCATAGAAAAAGCAAGACTAATCTATACCTATAGCTGCAGCTGTTTTCGATGTTGGAAGATTGGTGCAGTCTCCAATACCAAACACATTATGGTATTTCTTATGTTGCAGAGTTTCCTTGTCTACATCTACCCAGCCAGCTGCATCTGATACAGGACTGTTCAGGAGCACAGCAGGTGGTCCCATAGGTGGCGTGACATGAAGCATGTCATACTGGGCAGAGAAAAAAGAATACATTATTTCTCTAGATTAACAGTCTTCAGTAAACAGGATTAAACTCGATGCCCTTCTTGTAGCTTTGCATGCCAACACTGGGATGAAAGAAACCCTCCCACAAAATCAAAAACCTACAGAGGTGAAACATTTCTCTAGATTTACATACCTGGAAGTTATGTATTTGTTTCTGGTTTCAAGGTCACTGGCCAATTATTAAGAGACTCCAATTAGAATATGCAAATATTTTTGGAGGGGTTGTGTATTTTTAGATCAACTGCATGATAACTATTTATGGAGTCATGCATGTTAGCTAGAGGGTTGCAGATGAGCCTCCTTGGGATGCTGTTATGTTTCTTGCACAGACTTAGGAAAATCTCACTGTATAGTCTTTTGTTCTTTAGGTTGTGAATTTTCCATTTTAAGTGGCAGATTTTGATATGATGGTGTTAATGTTAAGCACCCCAAAAAAATCCTTGCTTCTCATAATTCCTGAACCATGATGGCTACATACTTCTAATATTCCAATTATATTATTCACACAACTTATATTAGAATTTACTTCCTCACCCAAATATACACACTAGCATAAGCAGCCTTCCCATAAATAGCTCCAGGAAAAGAGGGGAAAATGTTCCTGTTTCCATTTGAACTAGAAAAAAAAAAATCTCAGCTTTTACTTCTGCATTTCAAGTTACTTAGGTTCTTACATGCTCAAATAACTAAAAAACAAAAAAGGCTATAAAACCTTCAAAGTTAGCATTACCCAGTAATGTGGTTTCAGTTAGCTATCAATACTGACAACAAAAGGACAAGTAGTCCTTCTTAAATGTCATGAAAACTTCTGTGTTACTGACCTTATAGACTTCAGTCACTCCAGGTTTGTCCAAATTCTCAAATACAGCTTCCTGTACGTCAGCTCGGACCTCAACAAGGTTGTGTTTGTAGTTTACATTGATATCCCTTGCCTTAATTATTTCTAGCAGTGCCTCGGCATACTTCTGAACCCCAAAAATCCCTCCAAGCGCAGTATTGAAGATAATGTTGGCTGTGGATCGTTTTCCAGTCTGAACAGAAAGATTAATTTAGCCTTTCTTGAATTATAAAGTGTGGGATACAAAGCAGAACCAGACAGATACTGTACACTTAGAGACAGAAGCTGACTGCAGTTTTATTTATGTTGTTCTATAGGTTAATATACAAACAAGCTGTGGCAGAAAGCCACCTTTGTTTCTCCCCAAAACTCTGCTCTGTGACAATTTGGTTAGGACTGGCCCAGCAGAGGATATACAGTTTACCCTATCGCTTTAGGTAACCTGAGCTGGATATATTCCTGAGGGAGGAGGGAACTAACTGGCATTGCATACTTGGGTGAGGGGCTTGGGCCCCCTGGGGAGCTAGGAACTGCCAGTCTGCCCAGCAACTAGTGATGCATTTCAAATTGGTTGGCTGACAGCCAACAGGTGCTGGCCTCCATTGGACCAGGTAAATGAGGTCACAAGGGCTATAAGTCAAGGACTGCCCAGGAGGGGGCAGCAGCCATGAGGAAGACTCAGTGAGAGAGAAGAGCTGAACCATCTGAAACTTGCTCTCTCTCAAAACTCATGATCAAGGAACTGCCTGCCTCTGGAGGGAATCTCCACCTGTCTCTGGATGATACTTGTGAATAAGCTACCTGAGATCTAACTAGATATATAGCTTGCAGTAACTCAGATGCGTGATCAAAGGCTACCCAGCCATGGGAGTTTGCTCTATGGGATTTCTCTGATATTGCTCTACCCTGTACCCTATTCCAACCCTACCCCTTGTAACCAACAAAGTTCTCCTTTGTACCTAGTGTGGGAGACTTACTGGGAGTGGGTCTAGGTTATGCCTTGGGGTCCCCTTGGTTTGGCTGACTAAGGGAGACCACTACTTGTGCTTCTGACTGAGGGAAGCATCCCAAGTTCTTGAAGTGAATTAAGTACCCTCGAGGGCTACTAGGCCTGCGTTTCCCAGGGTGCACAGAGCCAGAATCAAGCCCAGCCCTGGGTGGAGGCAGTGGAATCCCCAGGCTAGAGGGTGCGCTCTGGGAAGGGGGTCAGCCAGACATGAGGCACCCCCAGGGAGACACTCAGAGCCTGGAAAGTGGTCAGGCTCAGTGAGGTGGGTAGCTCAATACAGGAGCACCCCTACTGGCCCGCCACACAATCTCAGATCTCATCAAAAGCTAGGACCAAAAATCCAAAAGGATAAATCTATTGCGATCGGCTGGTGGTGGCAACGTTTCATCCTTAACATGATTACTTGCATATTTATCAAAGAAAAGCTAGCATTTTGGAGGACACCATACAAGCTTAAGCACTTACCATTAAAGCTACCATGGATAGCGTGCCAGAACATTACCCCACAAGGCCTCAGCCAAACTCTAGTTGGCATATTGTATTTTGTATATGCAACATTTCCCTTTTTAGTCTCTCTTGGACAAACATACTTTGCTTCCCACTGTGCAGTACAATGTGTAGAGAGATGACTGGATGCAAATTGCTCCTGGTCAGCCCAAGCAGCAGGGGGCAGGGGAACTCTCCCCTCCCTCAGGCAGCTGTCCCCTTCCCTGGAGCCCAGGCCTGACCTTGGCACCCCCTACTACTCTCCCTGGAGTAGCCCTGCACTGTATTGCTCCCAATGGGTGTACGTGTACACACACTGCACTCCTGGGGAAAACTCGCTGAACAGTATTTTACAGTAAGCTTACAGCGCATTAACAACACATATAGACATACGCACTGTGCAATTCAGTTTCCTTAGTTTTAACACTAGAAAGATCACCACATGCTTTTCCAGCTCAGAACTCTTTTGTTACAACTAATATGACAAATAGTAAAATAAGCTTAACCTCTCAGAGGAATAACAAGCGCCATTAGAAACAAGACACTTACTTTTCTCAAATAGGCCTCTGTTAAGTACATAATTTTCTGAGGAGCCCCTGCACATTTTACGGGAGTATTTGGAAAAGTAAAGACAGCATTTCCTTCCTTGAAGTCTTGCAGAGCTCTCCATGTCTTCTCAACTGTGTGAACTGAATAATTGGAACCAATATGAGGATGATTAAAACCCTCAGGCAACCCTTTAATCTAGAATAAAACAAAACAAAGTTTTATATTAAAATCCAGCTGGCAAGAAGTCTTCCTTTGCCTTCATCATTGTAATACACAGCATCAGTTGGGAACCTGGGGGCATTCTCTTTCTACTATACTCAGACCATTCAATTTAAATTGAGGGGTCCTACCAAAGAGTGACATCTTTAAACTGGTGTTTATGGAAAAAGGCTTAACAAAATAAAAGCCCCAAATAAAGAAAAACATCCATTAAACCTAAAAGCACAGAGAAACACTAAACATATATGCTTTCTTTGCAATATTGTCTTGGGTGACTTTTCAGTGCCCTGGAGGGCAAGTGAACCATTTTTTTCCTATTTGACAGCTATTGCGACCTTTAATGTTTCAGCTCTGGCCAGCTGAAGTATCACCTATATGCATAGGTAAAGAAATCCGTCAGGTTTTCTTAATCCCAACCATCTCCTCTAGTCACTTTCCCTATCCCATCTACATCTGAGACCTCACTGTTGTTTGTTTCCCTTTCTTATAGAAGGGGAGGGTGTCTCCATTTACAAACAAGGATGAGAGGTAAACCCATGGCACAACTCCTGTGTCAAGCTGCACACAGGCAGAAGAGCGCAGAACAGAGGGCCCAGACCAGGAAAGCATGCCTAGTCACTCAACTCAGGCACAATAGCAGGGCTATTCAGGGGGTGAATTCTCACACTTGGAATTCTGTTTCAGTTTCCTTGCTAGTCACTACTTGTCATTTTAAATCCCCAGAATCTATCTACAAACAAGTGCTTGCTAGCTTCCCCACACTGCTTCTCCCTGGGTATTTGTTACAGCCTTGTAGAAATGTTTACATAACACCCTGGCACTCACTGAACACCCTGCAGTTGCTTGTGCTACTGGTATAATCACCAGAACTCATTTGTCAGTGAGGTTGTGGTCCGTAGATAAAGCCACAATCAGCTTCTCATTTGAAAACAGTGTTTCAAATAACTGTTTGCACTTCACCTTTAGAAGAACCATCTAGTTATTAGTCTATACTCCTGCTACTATTACTTTACACTCCTGCTATGGCTAGAACAACACTAGAGTTTGATCACTCATCTAACGCTCCCTCTCCCCACAATATCTTGGGGCACAAAGACTGAAGCTATTCTTGTCTCCATACAATGGGATGAGCACCTCCTTCTTGAAGGGCTGCTGGAAAAGTGCCTTGGACTAATCCCACCACCTGCAACAGCAGAAGCTACTGCACCCTAACACTATCATTTTACACAGTGCTCCACTATGGGAGAGCAGATTTAAGATCCTGAAGAGACTCCTTGGACACAGCAAATCAACATCTTTCTCAGGAGACTTTGCCAGTAGCCGTCCATTGCAGGTTCCAGGCAGAGCAGGGTCATAAGAAGCGGCATCATCTGCAAATCCCCTTCAGGTAGAATTTCTTCTACTAGACACATGTAGGCTGGTGGTTGCTGGTAGGAGCTTAGGTACTGAATATGCTTTATATTGTGTGTTCAGTCAACCAAGAGCTCATTATATACGATATATTTTGTCCACACACTTGAACTCTATGGGAGGCCACACTGGACAAAAGGGAACTTTCCTATAACTACAGTCCTGTGTACAACATTTTGAGTATCTCCAACACAAAAAAACCCAGTCATTTAAAACAGTTTTTAATTGCAAAAACTACCAAGTACACTTAAAACTGAACAGAGATTCCTTTAAATTCAGAGGACCAGAGAGTATATAATGCAATTAAAGCACTAGTAACGATATATTTGTTTTAAACCCAATACCTTTTCATAATGCAGACTGATCCCAAGGGCAATTATCAAATACTTGTAAGAGATCTGTAGTATAAAGAAAAGAAAATTGTGATTTTAGTCAAACAATTTTGAAGACCTGCATCTGCATTATCTGACAACATTAACTGTGAAGTAAGAAAAGGTAAGCCAGGTGCAATTCATATTAAGGTAAATGTTACCAGTGGGTTTTTTTTTCGCCATTCCATACTTACATTATAGTTTTATACCCCAAACAAATACTTGCCTTATTACTTGCCAAATTTTATATCCAATTTGCTAAAACATGTGACAACTGGCTGAAAGTACCTAGTAAAATTCATAGTGTTCACAGCTAATTAAGGGCTGGGGCTACATCCACAAAGATCAGCTCTCAAGGGAAGATATATCTCTGGGTGACAGGGACCTTATGACCACATGCAAGTAAGATCAGAAATTAATTGTGCAAATATTTTTGGGATGGGGGGGCAGGAATGGAGGGAAGGACCAACTGACTGAAGGCTCACATATCAGTATACCACCATTACCTTTTTGTCATTCTCCAGATAGACACAGCTCTTGTCAGGATTCAACTCTTGAACTCTGGATTTGATCCACTCAACACCGCTGGGAATCACACGTGCTGTTGGACGTGCTGAAGTTGCTAATTTTTTTGCGCCCGCACCAACAAGAGTCCAGATAGGTTGATAATAATGAGTCTGAAACAAATCCCTCAAGGTTAAAATAAGCCAGTTCCCATTTAACAGATGTCATTACATCTAGCAGTGTTTCTCAACCTCATTAGACTCAAGACCCCCCCTCAGTAAATGCCAGCTCTGAGCTTTCATTTGTTTTTTTACTATGAAAAATAATAGAGCAATTCTTCTGTTGCAAAGAGCTCACAAAGATTGCAACTCAGACAAGAATGTTTTTGACACAGGATTCTCATTTGAAATCTCTGAGTTTAATCTTGTGACTCATGGGCAGGTGCTAATATTGCATGGCACCCAACAGCACCCTTAAAGGTATCAAAAAGCACCCCAGAGTGGCACAACATGCTGGCTGAGAATTGCTGCTCTAGAGGGAGCATGCCAAGGCCCAGAAAAGGGAAAATGAAAACAGGGATCCTCTGTTTGCCAGTAGTGTTGGCAACAAAGACTTCCTTTGGAGGGACCCAGGGCAGTCCTCTGCTGGAATGAAGGGGGAGGAGGGGTTGTGCTGCAATACATTTGGCCTTCAGCCTGCAAGCCCAAGAAGGTAGCTTCACTTTCCCTCAAAGCAGTCACCAGTCAATACAATCACAACACTCAGAAATAGGAACAAGCCCATGCAGTTGTTCCATCAAAAGGCTGTTCCTCCATGAAGGCAAGCATCCTCCGACTTCCTCTTTAAAGCAACAATATTTTGTTTTGTTCATCGAACCTTTAACTAGAATGGATCATGTTTGGTGCCAAATGAAGAAAGACAGATAATACATTCCCCTTTTCCCCCCACCCAGTGAGCATCCTCTCACACAGCGCAGCCAACACAAGCTACTCAGTGTGCTGTGTGGCTGACCTGACTGCTGCTCGATTTGGTTGATTTTTGAAATGCTAAATGGCACACCAGGAGGGCAGGAGCATACGCCAACCTCTCACATTTCTAGAGAGAGAATGTACCTCACTTGGCTCAATCACAGCCACGTTTCCAGCTCCCACTTTCCTTTTCATCCGAGCACTCATGGTGATTCCTCCAGTGCCGCCTCCCAGTACAAGCACTTCATAGTAATCCTTCGCTGCAAGCCTGGCCGCAGTGTGCAGTCCCTTTTTCTGTATGCTTGGCCGAAGCAGGTGCACAAGAGGATGGATGCAGGAGCAGGAGGACACTACTCCAATATTCGACATCTTTGGTATGTCAAGCTGCGGGAACAGGGAAGGCATCTATGAGAATTAGACGAATTGGGGCTTGCAGGCTCTTGGGAGCCAGTTTATCCATGGACCAGTGGGTGTTCTAGGTAGGCTGGCAAATCTTTGCTGCAGTTAGGCCAGATCCATTTAGCAAATTAAGTGCCAGTAGTCAACTAGTAGCCAGGAAATCAAGCATTTGCTAGGATTAAAAAGGAAAGAAGAGTCCTATTGATTGAAGAGGAACAGACTTACCTCACAAATCAGTATTGGCAAGATAAAATGTTTATGACCCTAATTTAACTGTACACATATGTATTCACTACAAGAATTTCTCTTGTAAGTACAAAACCCTCCCATGCATATATTACCATAGAGTGATGGACCATCAGATATCTTTGACCTTTTCAAGAATCATTTACATCCACTGGTAAAATTTATTTTTCTGTCAGAACAGTGAAAATTGCACTTACGAAGCTACACTGTTAAACAAATCACAAGTAGAGCAATGCTTCTAGATTAACTATGCTAACAGTTTTGCAAGTGTGCAAGGTTCGCCTTAGCTCCAATACCTGGGCATCTACATCACCGGAAGGGAATATCACCTTTATTTAAAAGAAAAAGGGTGAAAGTGTGCATCGCAGAAAATACACAAATATGAACCCTAACAGGCTCAAAATGCAGCAAGAAAATAGAGACTAGGAAGAGAGCCTGACTTTCTGTTGTTATTTTGAATGCTTGGGGTTGGCACCACTCCTCCTGTCAGTCTTAAGAGCTCTTTGTACGTAGTACAACATACTAATAGTTTCCAGAGTTACTGTGGCATATATACCCTTAAAACACCACACGAGGAAAAAAAACAAACAGTATTTCCTTCCCTTTAAGGAAATAGAAGCCACTTTCCAGTTTAAATTCCTGCAGGCCTTAGTTGGGTGGCAGTTACATAGTTACTAGTGAGTAGCCTTTTAGGAGTCTGACTGAAAACACTGCAAGAGCTTCTCAGATGAGAAATTCTAGTTGTTACATTTCCTCTACATGTAGCACAAACCACCCAAAACGGGGAGAGAGAGGGGGACAGGGAGGGGAATTTTTCTCTTAAGCCTTAGTTAGATTTCCCTTGGAAGAACAGTTCTTATTCTCAAAATCGCCACGAGAACTGCAAGGAAACAAAATACAACAACTTCCTGATGCAATACCACATTTAAACAGGGGTATCCTATTTCCGGAAGTTCACGAACACAACACATCTTCGAATCTCTGCCTTTTTGCTTACAATTCTTAAGCACGAGACAGGGCAGCAACAGATCTGTTGCATACACTTCTTAACTGCTTGTATATATAGCACTTCGTTTTGAACTAACTTCTACTTGGCAATATGGATTTTAAAAAGAGAAGCAAATTATTAAAAACCAATTTGGACACAAAGCGGTTTACCTTTAATACCCACTTAATGGCTTAAAAACGTAGTATCACACATAAGGGATACAAACAGAAAAGGGTTTTAACATTAATGCATGTAATTGTATGTGATCAAGCATTTATGCTAATAAAGAGAAATATTGGAGGAATTACAGAAGGATCTGTAGAAATAAGAGGGTGTGTCAATGAATAGCAATTGTGAAATAAAACCACTGTGTGTGCAATGATCACTTACTGTACCACATCACTTCGCTGCATAGTTGTAAACCATGTGTGCCTTTGACAAGGCATCAGTGCTTCCTGCTGCTGTATAGTTTCCTTCTCTCTCACAAAAATACAGCATGGGCAGCCATTTTGCCAATACTTTTCAAAATCACGCTTGTACAAATCCTGACTACCCACATACCTATCCTAGGATCAGGATACTGGTATAACCACCTGCTCTCTGCATCTACCCAGAATCATAGCCAGCTCACTGAGCACACAGGCATGCGGGGTATGCTGATCACTGTACATGGGGTGAGGGGGAGGAAGGAAGGCTCTTTCCTGGGACACTGCTGCTCCACTCCAACAGTAGCAGCCCCATGGCCGGGCTCCCTGTAAACTGGTGCCTAGCGTCCCATTTTTCCCCTCCCCCACTGCCATACATATATATTGGCATAGGCCTACAAGGCTGGGGGTGGGGAGAAAGGGGAGAGGCTGGTGCCCAGGGCTGGTACCCTGCTAGCCTCACCCTAGTTACTCTACTGCCACTACTTCTGGCATAAACTAACTAATAGCCAATACAATGAAACAGAGGAATTGTGGAGCAAGACAGACAGAACAGCAGCAACGGCAGCAGCAGCAATCAGACTATTTAACGTAGCAATCCAGAATCACACTTGACACTCCTGCAGTTATTGAACATGTCCATGAAACTATGTATTTTTCAAAATACCATTAAATTATTACTAAACTTTTAAAATTGGCTTTGCATAACAAAGAAATCCATAACTTGTGTCCCCAACAAAGTACACAAAAGATGTTCAAAGCATATTAGCTAAGACTTAAGTTTAACAATAAGTTTAATAAAGCCACACTGTTCCTGTGCCTTCAGAAGCATGCTCCTTACCAACGATGGGGCACTCAGTGCCCGGCTGGCAGGCCAGATCCAGCCCCTAGCACCATGAATCTGCCAGAAGCCCCATGGGCTAGGGCTCTGCACACTAAATTGGGTACGCAGGGCCCTATCCCGGCCTGTGTATCAGCCTCATGGGGCTCCATAACACAATCCCAACTCAGAGATCAGCGCCACTGAGCCAAGAGGTTGAGCACCACAGTACGAGAAATCTTGGCAGCCATCAATCCTATGGATCATGCTGTAAGCACAAGAGGTCAATGCAACCATCACCCCAAGATCTTCAGTGCTTACAGCTGGGCAAGAGTATGGAAGAGTGGAGGCTGCCCTAGACCTACCAGCCCCCCTTTAGACCAGAGACAGAGCCAAAGGCCAGACTCAGTCCAGATGTTCAGTGCTTCAATGGTTGTAGGTTCTGCCAGAAAGCAACAGACCAGTTACTGCTGACTGCCAAATGCCTCAGTGAGAGCATGTTTCTGTCAGTGCAATGTCCCTTAAGAGCTTTCTCCAACAAGGCAGTGGGGGTTGGGGTTTTGAGGTGCCCTATACTCACCTTACTTTGGAGGTTGCAACACTGTGGTATTTGATAGGAGCTACCCTGCCACAAGTAGCCCTACCATGTTGCCACCACGCCCTCCAGTCGGATGCAGTTTACAGTCACGCATACAGAAAGGCTTCATTTTTGGCAGTAAAACATCTCGCTGTATTACCCTATGAAGTTTAAATCAAATTGGCATTTAG